CTGTCTCACAAGACACAGGGTTGGATTTTCGGAAGAGGCATAGGGAGAGAGAATAGAGAGTCTCGTTGAGCATAAAAACAGTATCCTTGTTAACCTTGACTCATTTTCAAAACATCAAATTTGTTCTTGTTCAAAACAGAACCCCAACCTCTTACTCCACCATACAAACTCTCCCTAAGCCAAACACTTCATACAAAGTTTGTCCAATCACAAAAACAACTCCTTTGTTGCTATTCATCTCCATCTTCAAAACACCAAAAACATTACAGTACAGTCTAACTCAGTTCTAGAAGTCCAGAGCAGCTTCCTGAAGACTCACAAGGTTATCACATCATTTGGAAGAGCATTCAGATCTAAAACAACCAGTGCATCCCAAAGGTAAGTCCTCTTGACTTGATATATTGACATTACATCATTAACAAGTTGTTGTTCTTTGAAGACAAGATGTAGTACCTTAATATCTTTTTGAACTAGTCATCTGCGCTTTGTTTAGGCTTATTCAATCATTTGTTGTTCATATTTATCCATCATATTCCATAAACTAACTTGTACATTCAGTAAAATAATGTTTAAGGCAGGAAAATGAAGCATGTATCGACACATATCCTCATGTATCGACTCATCCTAGTGAAAAAATAGGGTATGAGTCAACACATAACCCCCATGCATCGACTCATACTGATTTCAGGTTGCAAAACAGAAGCTGGAAAGGACTATGAGTCGACACATACGCATTTTGCGTCGATGCAAAAGGGTGTATGAGTCGATACATCCCATTATGTGTCGACTCATACTGAATAGATTTCACAAAACAGAAGTTGGAAAAGACTATGTATTGACACATACGCGCTTCGCGTTGACACAAGGAGGGTGTATGAGTCGACACATCCCCTCATGTATTGACACATACTGAGTTATTTTGTTTTGCAGGGGCAAGGAGAAGCTATGTGTCGATGCATAGCAGCATGTGTCGACACATAATAGTTCAAAGTGCAGTTTTCCTTTTATTTTACACTTTTTTTTTACATTGTTTTCATTATCATTCGATGTGGTTGTAATATTTCAGTCTCCACTTCATCCCCATTGTAAATTTGTACCCCCGTCCCCCTAAAGTGATGTAATAACTTAGGATTTATTTTCCGCATGTTTACTTGCTTTCATATATTGCTAGTAAATAAGTGTGTATGGCAAGATAAAATTAGAAAATAGATAACCTTTCAAATACAAGACCAAATGCATGCAAACTAACACACTCGCACACTAACACCTCTAGGGCAACCTCACTTTGTCGCCTTCCGGAAAATAGTCATGTCCCTCGAGCATGGGCGTTTTAGCAAAGACCATTCGATAAAAGAGCGTAGTCCCTCGATGACCCTCGTTGTTGCCTTTGGTAAACGATCTAGTCCCTAAAAACGACATTGCTAAAACGTCCCATATGTTGCCTTCTATGACTATACAAATGTCCCAACGCCCGTCCCTTCACATCCAACGATGAGGCTTCTTACCAAATCAATGGTAAGATAGCCACATCTAAAGGAAGAGGAAAAACATATCTAAGACCTTTCGAGTAGGTAGATTCGCTCCTAGTTACTCGCTTGCTCACAACAAAAACATTTATACACCAACACTCTCATTTTGAAACATTTTCAAAAGATAACACTTTGTGCGCGTTCTTATAGAAACCAGAGTCATTACAAAGAAAACCCTTTTCAAAATCACTTTCAAAAACACATCTCACAAACACACCTTTGAACTATTTTCGAAGCAAACACTTCGTAGGCGTTCTTGTAGAAACGAGAACCATTACGAAGTTCCATTTTCAAAATACTTTTAAAACACACACCACAAGCACATTCAAACAAAAGCAAGTGATCTAGCAAGTAACTAAGAGCCCATGGAAAACCATGGATGAAAAGGGTGTTAATACCTTCCCTTTTCATAATCTACCCTCCGAACTCAAAAACATCTCTAAAGGTCTTTCCTGTGCTTTTTCACCTTTCCTTTTTGGATAAAAGAAAAGTCGGTGGCGACTCTTGCTAAACCGCAATATTTGCAAACACAAACGCAAAAACATCAAGTCTGTTCTCCCACTGTATCACATTCACCATCAGTGAACGTTGGTGTTATACTTCTCTTTATACCTCCAGTGAACGTTGGTAGTTCACCGTCAGTGAATATAGGTGTAGTTATTCTTTTCTCTTTCTACCTTCAGTGAAAGTTGTTAGTTTCATCTTCAGTGAAAGTTAGTGTATCCTTTGACCTTTTACCGTCATCTGTGAGTCGATATCTTTTTTATCTTCTACCTTTGACTATTGAGTCGGTAGTTCACAGTTATCTGACGATCGTTATTATCCACTACTTTTTCCTTATTTAATGAGTTTGTGATACTTTGTCTCCTCTCGGGCTTTACTCCAGTAGAGTTGAGTCTTTTATTCCCCAACGGAGTTGATTTTCCTCCAATGGAGTCAAGCTTCCTTCCTTAGTAGGGAACATAATTCTTTCTGGAAGATTACTTTCTTATAGGATCGTTGCTCGCTTTGTGAAGTGTTTCCTCATTGAAACCCCACTTTGCCTTCAACTGTGGTTCTGGCTTTCTCCAAACAAAATCATCCCTAGAGTTATGTCATTCCCAATGATTTATTTTCCTGGTGAACTCTCTTAGGCATCTCTCTCCAACAGGTTTCAAGTTGTAGTTTCATCTACGTTATTATCCCCAATAATATTCAGTGTTTCCCACAGAATCCTTTGTGTCTGCATTCCTAACCATAAGCATTTCATGACACCTCACGGTTAAAAAATGGGATCTTCTAATATTTAAGTATCTTCAATCTCGTCGAGACGAAGGTGTCTACCTTCATATCTCTGGATAGAAGACACTTAAATAGGGGCAACAGTCATATCCCATTTTTTACCCCTAATCTGTTCATTCATAACATCATAAATTATTCATTCATTTCAGCTCTTAAGACATGGGCTCAAATGGCTCTTGGCATTATGGTTTTCCCTTATAAATCGAGGTTGCTACCTCTCTCAAGTTGATTCCACTGTTTCATTTATCTATCTTGGTATGAAACCAGGGTTTTGGATCTACAAGCATCATGGATATTTTCCTTGGCAAGATTCCTCGAGATACAAGTTTTTCTTCATCTGAGTTTCTTTAAGAAATTAGCGCATTAGGATTTGACTTGTATGCTCAAGACTTTATCATGAACTCACTATGAATGTCCTTGAGCTAGGTTTTATTCCTCTCGGAATCTCAAGTTTTCTTCATCAATGTGCACTCAGAGAAAATACATTAGGACTTCTCCTATCTTTCTTGAGCATTGATAATGATTCTTCAACAAAGTTCATCATGCTAGGGTGTACATCTTATCACGCTTGAGTTTATCAACATTTAAATTGAAATTTATTGGACTTCATACTTCAAGTCCTATCATTCATCTTTAAGTCGTTCCTTAAGGCATTAATTTTGTTTCAAGATTAATGGTTATCAAGCTAAAACGGTTTTGTGGATTAAATTGCGAAACATGAATCATGGTACAAGAAATGAAGTTGTGAATTGTTTGTGATCAAGGCATTATTATCTCACTTGATTTATTTATTGGTTTCAAACCAAGATACATTCACCATTTCAAAGTTTCATCCATGTTTAGCATGTTTAAAAATCTAACAATAAAAAGGTATTACAAAGTTCACTCAAAGTTGCATGTGGGGTCTCAAGGTAAGGATGAAGATAATCTCAAGAGTGGAATTGTTGTGGACCGAACCATATTTGCCTTATTTTTCAATGGCATGCGCTACATGTGTTGTTTATAGATTCACATGATTCAAAAGAAATTCAAAATTCGAAATCCAAAAGACCAATTATTCATGTATTTCAATTCTTCCTATTCAAGATTCATTCAATAGTAGTTCAAGCTTCAAATTTCTATACAATTCAAAGTTTCAAAAATACAAAAATATTCATCATTCCAAATTTAAGATCAAACATTCATTCAATGTTTTTTACATATCCAAACTACATTCTTCATTTAAGCTTCACAAATCCAAATAGAGTGTCCATTTTGCTTAGCCTAACTGTCACTCTCATATAAGTCATATTATTTCTTTCAAATGGAAAATGCCTACACCATGAAGAAACGATACAAAATCAGCCCTGCACTGCATCGTTGGAAACCGCATCATGCAATGTAAAAAAAAACAGTCCAAAATTGCCATTATTTTTGCTTGTGTCATGTTGAACCAAAACAGCTCCAAAGTGGTTGCAATTTTGTTCAAAATATCTTCTTAAAATCAGCTCTGCATAAGTTTTTATGGCAGCAGAAAATCAGAAAAAAAAATCATATCTAAAGAAAGTCACCGAAACAGGAGAAAGATTGGAAGAAGATTTTAAGCCAGCTCATCAAAACAGAAGCAAAACGCAATGTAAAAAAAATTGAGTAAAGATATTGTTGTCTCGGTTCACACAGAAAAGGCAGAGGAAAATAAATCAGGAATTAAAAATATAGAAAGAGAATTTCGGAGCAAGCTTCATAGCAGATGTTACAACTTAGCATGTTTAAAACTTCTCTAACAAGCTTCATAATAGAATTTGAGATGAGAAATGAGATTCAATCTCAATCATTCATTTGATATAATAGATTTTTAAAATCAAAGGCTCAGATGATCTTACCTGTTGAGAAGCTTCTCAGACAAGCCAAGCAACTGATATATAACAGACTTCACTTTCAGATCCAAAAAAGAGAAAAAGGGGGATTTTTCACTTCTGCAAAAACTTCTCAGAGAAGTTTTCAGAGTTCACTGAATTTCTCTGAGGCTCCAACGATTCATTTCTGGAAAAAAAACTTCTTGGCTTTCACTTTGAATTCTCCGAGTTGATTTCTTCAGATCCTCTCTCTACTTCCATTAACCTTCATCTTTAACAACTTCGATCGTCGTCGGCTTCAATATCACTGCATCGCATCAATAGTATCTAAGCGTGGTAAGATCAATTCGCATCATCACGCATTGCAATCTGCAAGAACAATACTGCTACAAATTCAGAGCAAAAAATAAAAAGTAAAAGAAGAAAATTCTTGAAATACAGAAGCACACAGAGGAAGAAATTAAGATTGAAAGATAAGTAAGAAATAAAAGCACCTAAATAGAATCTGGTTTTTATTTTGGCATCTTCGAAGCGCCGTCGGAGTGTCTCCGATCGGTAAGCCTCAAACTCTCCTTTATTTTCGCATCTGCAATTGTTTATTATCGTGATAATGTAGAACTCTGTGATCCGTGTTGTGTTTTGAGTTATGCGTCACATTTGAACTCTATGACACTGAGTTGAAGACGGATTAGAAGATGAATTAAGGTAGAACGAAGTTGATATGCAGCTGAAATGAGAAATTGTGAGTGGACGGAGAGGCAGTATGAACGAAGGTGGTAGAAGATCGTAGGAATCTGAAAACGATTGAAGTTGAGGCGCTGCGAAGAGACGCCAGATCGATGAAGAAGAAGCCATTAAGAAGAGGAAATCACGGCCGTTTAAATCGATGGAAACTAAAGATGAAGCTTTGAGGCTTGAAGTTGACGGTTGTGCTGAGTGGGAGAAGGAGCTTGAAGAAGGATAAAATTCGACTCTGAGACGATATTGAATGACGAAGTTGCGTTTCTATGGAAGCTTTAACAGATGAACAAAGTGATATGAAGATCGGAGCATGGTGATGTCATTATCGACTGTGGATGTATTTCAACGATGTTGAGGAAGAAGAAGTAACAAGCGGCGCCGCTATGCAATTTTTGCAAAGAGAGGAAGAGAGATTTTTTTTCCCGAGGGATCTGAAACATCTCTCTTGAACCCTACTTCCTTCCTCAAAATGGCACAATTTCACTTTTGTTTCTTTTTTTTACTTCTTTTTTTTTTCTTTTAAAAACTGTTAGATAATAATAATTAGATAATAAAATAAAAAATGCTGGAAAAATATGGTTGGGGTAATTGGAGTGGACCGAGCTCATCATCCCTAGGCTTTGTCACTCATATTTGTTTTTTCTCTCCGAAGGATAGTTCAAACAAAACTCCCTCTTGGGCTCAGGACGTTGGGCCTAGCGCCTGACTTTAGTTTACCTCCTCGAACACCCCCGGATCCAGCTTGCACATCCCTTTGTTTGGTTATTTGAATTTCTTTTTGATAATTTCTATAATTTTTCTTTTTATTAACTTTGATCGCATAATTGTGATGGAAATGTGATACAAAAAAAAGTAGAATATGATAGTTGATTTTAGAATTTCTCTTTTAGAATTTAATTGAGAGTTTGTCTTTATTTTTCTTCATATTTCAAGATTAATTCTTTTTGTTATTCTTGCCTTGACTTTGCAATATCATGTTGATTTGTGATGTTAAGTGCTAGAGGATTAACTTGGTTGATCGCTGGTGGAGCTTCTTGCTGGTTAGATGGTTCTTTTCCCTAGCTTTTACCTTATGCTTTATGATAGTCCCTTCATCTTCTCCCATCTTCTTTAATTTCAAAAAAATCTTCAAGACTATTCTTGTTTCTAACTTGAACTGCTTTCACAATAAACTTGGACTTAGGTCCATGCCTTTTAAAAAAAAAATCTTTTCTTAATCAAACTTTAAACAACTTAACAATATTTTGACCTTTTTGTGAGAAGACTAAAAGTCAATTAATCTCATTCAAACCATTTTGCCATTTTGGCTCTTATCTTTAAACTTTTCTCTAAAGATTGGACTCTTGTCAATCCTTGTAGTGATGCAAACAACTATACTTCTACAATATGTAGTGAAGTGAGATATTTTCCACTTGGGTGTTGAGCGAGGCTTTGTTGATTTTAATATCCAAGCCATATCCTCCACTTTGAGATGACGCAAATTCTCTTTTCTCATAATCGGGGATACTAAGTATGTTTTCCACTCGGACAATGATGATGATGTCTCATATCTTAAAATTAACCAACACATTTTGTGTTTCAAATTTTTAAAGAAGAACTACGAGTGTTCTGATTCCTTCTGGGATACGTAGGAACTGAATTGAAGATCCGAGCGAACGCAATAATAAAAAAAATTCTTTTTCCCAAATTGATTCATTCATGCAAATAACTCTTTTTAATAGCCAACATACACATATTTACCAAGAGGTTACTGCAGAGTACCGTAGATGTTTAGGATGCTAATACCTTCCATTTGCATAACCAACCCCCTTACCTAGAATTTCCCCCCTCTTTTGGGTTATTCGCTCTTTTCTCATTCCTTTGGAAACAATAAAGCGCGGTAGAGATTTTTATTTTGATTTGTACAAGTCTAGTCAATCCAATGGCTTAGTCTTAAACATTTCTACCGCTACACCAACCACACAGCCCATTTCATTGCATTTTTTATTTTGTTTTTCTGACTACAAAAATATACATTGGGCCTAGTATAGAACAAAACTGATTTTTTTTAACTTCTAAACCACTTTTCCATTTTTCACACCCCCCTGATTTTACTTTTTATATTATATTTTGTTTTATTTTTCTTTATTTTCATTATTATTAATATTATTATTATTATTATTATTTTTATTAATAAAAAATCCAAAAATATTTTCTTATTAAATTTAATTCGTTTTCTTAATTAAAACATTTAGACTTAGGTTTATTTCAATCTTATTTTCTAATTTGAATTATCGTAGGACTTGGATTTTAGTTAGTTAATTTTCTTTTTACTAGTTTAATTAAATTAAAACATTTTCATAAAACTCTAAAAAACTTGTTTCTTAATCAAATCTAATTTCTTTTTCTAGTTAACTTAGGTTTAATTCTCTTAAATTAATTAATTATTTTTCTTTTTTAATCTAATTAAGTTAAATCCTTTTATACAAAGAAACACCAACAAAAACAATTTTCTTTTCTTTCCATCTCACCTCTATATTCTTGTATATTTCTTTATTCTTGTACATTTTATTTGTTCATATTCAATATAGTTGTAATAGTAAATTAGGTTTTATTTACTTGCTTCCTCCATTTGTAAATTTTACCCCCATCCCCCAATTGATGTAATAGCGTAAGATATTTACATTCCGCAATTTATCACTTTCATATAAATGCTAGTAATTAGGGTTTGTATAGAAAGACTAAAATCAACCAATAGAAAACCCTGATTCAAGACAAACAAAGCATGGAAAAACAAACACCTTGCACACTTGCACCTCTAGGGTTAACCTCACTTGTTGCCTTGAAAAATAATTAGTCATGTTATGCATGTGGGATACTTTAGCAAAGTACAATCAAAATACAAGATCATTGTTCCTCGATGACCCTTCAAATGTTGCCTTATAAATGATCATTAGAACCTTACAAAATTGCTAAGGTATCTGACAACATTGCATTCTATGACTATATGATGACCCACGCCCGTCCCTTTACATCCAATGATAGGGCTTCTTATCAATCAATGGTAAGGTAGCAATATCTAAAGGATGAGGAAAATAACTAAGATTTTTGAGTAGCTAGAACGTTCATAGTTATTTGCTCACAACCATCTTCAATACATCTTCCAAATACACCAACGCATTTCCAAAGAAAATATTTTCAAAAGTCAACACTTTGTATGCATTCTTATAGAGACGAGAATCATAACAAAGTTCGCCTAAACGAAGGCACTTTTCAAAATTACTTTCAAAACCCATCACAAACACATTTCAAACAAAGCATTTCAAAGTGAGCCAGCAACTAAGAGCCCGTAGATAACTACGGATGAAAATGGTGCTAACACCTTCCCTTTTCATAACCTACCCCGAACTCAAGAAAATATCTCAAAAGGTCTTTCCTGTTCTTTTCACCCTTTCCTTATTGGGTAAAAGAAAAGTCGGTGGTGACTCTTGCTATCTGCAATAATTGCAATCAAACGCAAAACAACCAAGTCAGTTCTCCCACCATATTACACTCCTCCGTTGGCACATTTTGGCTAAAACTAAAACAACCATTGCACAATAAAGTATGCTTGAAAATAAATCAAACATACACATCAGATGTACAACATCGAAAAACACATATGCAAGGTTAGCAACACAGAAATTAGCAACACACACATAGTTAGTAGTTAGTTTATTTACTAACAGCTGCAACAAAAATAGAAAACACCTAAGTTCTCACACCATGATGTCGAGAAATCATATCTGACATCTCAACCTTCAGTCCAAAACAGAGCAGGGATTCCCCCTCAAAAACTGCTTATCACAAACAAGGGAACAAAAATCCCCCCCCCCCCCCCCCCTCAAAAGTACCATAAAAAGTATTGTTTCAGCATCCTCAATATCATACTACTCCCTCTTTGTAGCCATAATGTGACAAAGGTAAGCAAACAATATTAGCAAAAAAAATTTAAAGCACCTAAGAGTTAAGTAGCAGGGTGCAGAAAATCTACAAATATACTAGGTATTTAACCCTTACATAATCATAAACAAAAAAAAAACAGGATAATAAGATATATCCAAGCAAAATCCTTTGACCAACTGTTATGCAGTATCATCTTCTCTTTACTCAAAAGCACAAGCAGAACTTTCATTAGGTGCAACACCATACTTAGCAACCTCAACACAAGAAGCAGCACCAACAATAATTGCTATAGCTCTTCATAGATACATATCCCAAGTCTCCTCATTAGGTTCTCAAACTGATAAGCATCAAAAGATTTTGTGAAGATATCAACAAGTTGATTCTCAATTTTGACATGCTCAAGTTTAATGATTTTGTCCTCCACAAGTTCTCTGATGAAGTGATGTTTGATATCAATGTGCTTGGTCCTACTATGTTGAATAGGATTTTTGGAAATATTTATAGTACTATGTAATACGGTGGGAGAACTGACTCTTTTGGTTTTATGAAAATGTGCGGATAGCAAGAGTTACCACCGACTTTTCATTTATCCAACAAGGAAAGGTGAAAAGAGCAGGAAATACCTTTAATAGATTTTGAGTTCGGGAGGTAAGTTATGAAAAGGGAATGTGTTAGCACCCTTTTCATCCATAGTTGTCTACGGACTCTTAATTGCTTAGCTTAATTTTAAAACTTGCTTTGTGTGTGTGATTTGTTTGAAAATATTTTGAAAAGCCAGTGTAAGGCAGACTTTGTAATGATTCTTGTATCAGTCCTCAAGAATGCGTACAAAGTGTTTTGAAAATATTTTGTTTTGAAAGTGTGAAAAATGTATTGTTTATGAGAAAAGTTGTGAGCAAGCAATTAGAAATTTCTTACCCACTAAAGTGTTTCTTATTATTTTCCTTCTTCTTTAGAGATAGTACCATACATACCATTAGTTGGTAGGTAGTTCTGCCTATTGGACGTGAAGGGACAGGCGAAGGGTCGTCGTATGGTCATCAAAGGCAACATGTAAGGATACTTTAGCAATTGTATCAAATGGACTATCATCATTTTTCTCGTAGGGTCATTGAAGGGACTAGATCATTTTGTAGGCAACTCAAAGGGTCATCGAGAGATTATGATCTTTATTCAAAAGGGACCATGAT